AGGGTTTAGGGTTTAGGGTTTAGGGTTTAGGGTTTATGTTTTTGTTTGTCTGTATATGGATTAGATTGATTCATTTACAGTATTTGATTTCGTGAGGGTTTAGGGTTTCTACGAGTTGTATTATAAATAGGTTGTTATATATGACTACGTAAGGGTTTAGGGTTTAGGGTTTAGGGTTTAGGGTTTGTTGTTGCTGCAGCTAGGGTTTCTATTGGATGAGCCTTTGCTGCTGGAGGTGCGGCACTTTCCTTTTGTTTGTTCTCCGCTTCTTTCTTCGTCTTTTGTTGCGACCTTTCAAGACATTGCACCTGATGCATTTGAATGCGCTCGAGAAGTAGCAGGCATCAGCGATCAGGTCTGCTGCTGCTGTTGCTGCTGCTGCTGCTGCTGCTGCTGCTGCTGCTGCTGCTGATGCTGATGATGCTTGCTAATTGAGCTAATTGTGCTGATGCTGCTAATTGAGCTGCTGCTGCTGCTGATTGTGCTGCTGCTGCTGATTGTGCTGCTGCTGCTGATTGTGCTGCTGCTGCTGATTGGGCTGATGCTGCTAATTGTGCTGATGCTGCTGCTGCTGCTGCTGCTTCTGCTGCTGCTGCTGTTGCTGGTTGACCGATGCTTCCTCATTTGTTTTTGGAGTGTATAGGCAGCTTTCTGTAGTTGTCTGTATATTTTTGTGTCCATTTTTCTGATGTTGCTGCTGCTTAGTAATGTACGTACAGAAGATATATATATATATATATATATATATATATATATACACGCTGCTGTTTATTTATGTTTGCTGCTGCTGCTGCTGCTGCAGGACTACCGAACGAGTTTGTGCTCCACAGACTTCCCCTTCATAGAGTTTCAGTCTAACAGGTGACTAAATAAAATAAATAAATAAATATAAATAAATAAATAAATAAATAAATATAAATAAATAAATAAATAAATAAAATTATTAATAAATTAAATAACATAAATAAACAAAATAAAATATAATTAAAATGCTAAATGAATAAAGTGTCTATTTATTTTATTTGTTTGATAAATTAGGTGTATACGCAAGCCAAAACAACAAAAATAAAACAATAGATATAAAAAGAAACAGACAAAGAGACAAAAAGACAGAGAGAGAGACAGAGAGACAGAGACAGAGAGACAGAGACAGAGAGAGACAGAGACAGAGAGAGACAGAGACAGAGAGACAGAGACAAAGAGAGACAGAGACAGAGAGACAGAGAGACAGAGACAGAGAGACAGAGACAGAGAGACAGAGACAGAGAGAGACAAACAGAGACAGAGACAGAGAGACAGAGACAGAGAGACAGAGAGACAGAGACAGATAAAAGGAGACAGCGCAAACTGAATATAAACAAAAGATAGAAGGGGGTTATAAGACAGAAAAAGCAAAGAGATAGACAGAGAAACAGACAAAGACAAAAAAACGTGAAGAGGCATGCAACAAGGCCCTCCGGTGTTTTATATTAACTGCATAACCCTCAATATGCAGGGTTTAGGGTTTAGGGTTTAGGGTTTAGGGTTTAGGGTGTTTTGGGCTTGCAGCAAGAGCGGCCAGTTCTTCTTCTTCTCTCATGACGGCAAGTTTTTAATTAAAACGATTTCGAAGGCTGAAGTTATTCAGATACTGCGGTAAACCCTAAACCCTAAACCCTAAACCCTAAACCCTCACTGCAGGACTGTCGCTTGCTGAACAAACCCTAAACCCTAAACCCTAAACCCTTTTCTGCTTTGTATGAACGGCCCTAAACCCTATCTATTTGTATATTTGCGCTTATTTATATTTACTGTATATTTATTTTTTATTTATTTTTTATTTATTTTTATTTGTTTAGATGCGCCTCTCTACCCATATATTCACGCATATATATAAAAATATATATAATATATATATATATATATTTTATACTATATATATATTTTATATACTATATAGATAAATATACTAACATATATATATAATTTTGTTTACTA